AAAAATAATAATATAATTATAGTAATTATAATAATAATTTAGGTTGTTGCGAGAAGTAAGAACATTGAGAAGACAGGAAGTATCATTAGGAAGGGAGGTTACTTGATTAGAGAGGACAGTAGAGAATTTGTAGTTACATTTGGCTAAAGAAACTCAGGAGAACTGGCAAAGAAATAGATTATATGCAAGTTTGGTGTATGAAAGAAATATGTTGAGGGCTGAGATAGAGAATTTATATTATTTAATTCATAATATTCTAGTTCTAGAAGAATAAAATTTAAATAAATTTTATTATTTTGTATCGACTTGTTTTCTTTTTGTATTCAACTTTATTTATCTAAAATGGCATAGTTGTCGATAGAGCTTATATTTTTTAAATACGAAAAGTAATATCTATCTTATATCCAACTTTATTCAAACTTTGGATGGCAAAGTTATAATTAAGGCTCATATTCCTTAAATATGAATTTTTCATATTTAACTATATCCAAATTTGAATGGCAAAGTTGTTTATAGGGCTCATATTCCCTAAATATAAAATATAATCCTCCAATTTGATTATTTCTTAATAATATTTCTTTTGTTTTTTCTGATTTATAAATTCTCTTAAAGAAATATTGAATAAGAAAAGTGAATAGAGCTCTAACCATCACTCTAAACTGTCCTAGACACCATATTATACTAGGCCTGTATGAAAAGTATAACTAAAATAAATATATATATATATATATTATTATTTTTTTTTTTTTTTTTTTAATAACTACAGTAATAATAATAAATAATAAATAAATTAATAAATTAATTGTTCATAATCTTCAACTTCTAGTTTACCAATTATTGAAGCATTAACAAAACTTGACTTATACAACTGACATATTCCAAATTTTTGATATATTGTATAGATTCGAATAGCTTGTTTCCACAATCGATAGGCTTTAGTTTCTCCAAACAAATAAGTTAACTGAGTACGTATATATCGAGCTATACGTTTGTTATTTCTATTTCTTTCTCTCAATTGTCCAAGATAAAAGAGAGCTTCCATCCTTGGTATACATTTGTTTTTTTTTTTCCAAAAACTTGAATTTTTGTGATAATAGTATCAAAAATTTGTATTTCATCAGTATCTTGATAAAGAGAATTCATTTGAACTCTATTCTCTATTTTATAAGCTAAGTCTCGTTTAATTTGTTTAATAAGAAACTTATTATTTTTCTTGTTTGAACTTTGGTGATTACTGTTTTCTTCTAAGGGGACTTCTATTATTTTAACATTTTCTTGAATATTTGGTATTTCAGGAGGTTCAAAATTTTGAAGCATTGTATCCCATTCTTCACTATTAATAAATTCCTCATATAGATTATTATACTCAACAATACTTTCCATTGATTGTTGGATAATATCTTCGATTGGGCTTGTTATTTTTGATCCATCTTCATGAATAATAAAAATATTTTGACCAGATATTTCTATAATATTGTTTATAGTATTATTATTTTTCCAAATTTTCAAGAATTGTTTTAGAGCTTGTATTCCTTCAAGTGGTAATAGGTTGAGAAGATTATTGGTAGTTTGAGCTTCCATCATTTGAGTTAAATAATTGTTATATAAAATAAATAAAATTTGTAAAATTTAAAAGAAAAGAAAAATTTTAAAAGTTTGGGAGAATAGAGGGTGTTTATATAATTTTTAAAGTTGTATAATCTACAGGTTGTGTAAGCTTATTCAATTTTGTGTATTTGTGATATTATAACTTGTGGAATAGGTAATTGGGAAAGGTCTCTTTCAAAATATAATTTTAATCTATTGCCATGAACAGGATCATTTACTTTTTGTCCATTCATAGCTCGTAATTTATATGTTTCAAGTAATAAAACATTATAGATTATATATGGTCCAATCCATTTTTCCTCTAATTTGGCAGAAAATATATTTTTGAGGTGTGATTGAGCTACTAAAACTTTGTCACCAATTTTTAATTCAGGATTTTTAAGATTTTTGTCATGAGCTTCTTTTTGTATTTTCTGTGCTTGTTTAATATTTTCAATAGCTTCTTTTTGTTGTTTTAAAGTTATATCTTCTATTTCTAATGTTCGTTTAATTAAAGCTTCATTAAAAGATATATCTTCATCATAATAGGTTTCAATAATAGTTTCAATAGGAAGTTTAGCATCTCTTCCATAAATTAAAGAGAATGATGTGAATTTTGTTGTACTATACTTCATTGTTCTATAGGCTAATAGTACAGATGGTAAGATTTGATCTCATTCTTTGTAATTATAGCTATTTATTTTAGCTATTGCTTCATCTATTGTTCGATTAAATCTCTCAATCATACCATTTGTTTATAGTTGATATGCAGAAGATTTATGATGCTTAATTTAAAAATTATTGCACAATTTCTGAATTAATTCGCTCATAAAATTGGTTCCTCGATCACTTAATAAAATTTTTAGTGTTCCATGTCAACAAATTATATCTTCATATATAAATTTCACGACAGTTTTAGCTTTAATATCAGATATAGCTCTCGCTTCTGGCCATTTAGTTAAATAGTCCATAGCCACAATAATATATTTGTTGCCCTCCTTTGTAATTGGTAAAGGACCTTTTATATCAATTCCAACTCGATGAAATGGTGCTTTAACTTTGAGTGGTCAAAGAGTTTGCTTTCTAATTTTATTTCCTCTTCGTTGACAAATATCACAAGTTTTGATATAGTTTTTGATATCTTTATATATTGTAGACCAAAAATACCATTCCTTAGTTTTGTTATAGGTCGACTCTATTCCTAGATGAGTACCCTGCTCATCATGTAAAGTATATAATATCACATCTTTTTGATTTTGTTTTATCACCTGTTGAGCTTTATTTTATTTCGACGAAATAATTGTTCATTTTGAATAAAGTAGTTTTTACATTCTTTTTGTATTCGAGATTTGTCCAAATTAGTAGCGTCCAATGGAAATATAAGTTCAGATAAATATTGGTAGATTTCTTGGTAGAGTTTGTTATCTATTATCAATTATATTATTTATAGGCAAGCGTGAAAAGAAATCTGCATTTTGGTTCTGTTTACCAGAGTGATATTTAATATCATACTGGTATTCTTGTAGAGTTAACCGCCATCGAGTTATCCTTTTATTTTCATTTAGAGTGGTGTTGTTCAGTAACCATTATAAAGCTTTGTAATCAGTTATAAGTGTAAATCTTGTTCTATGAATGTAGTGTCGAAAATATTTTACAGCCCAAACAGCAGCTAAGCATTCAAGCTCAACTGTACTATAATTTTTCTCTGCAGGTGATAATGTTCTACTTGCATAGGCAATAACATGTTCTTTTCTCTCTATCACTTGTGATAATACTGCTTCTAATCCCAGATAAGAAGCATCAGTAAATAATAGAAATGGTTGGTCATAATTAGGATATCGTAATATTGGTGCAGTGGTAAGTTGATATTTGAGCCAGTCAAACATTTGTTGGTATTCCTCATTTCAAATAAATTCTACATCTTTTTGCAACAATTTAAACAAAGGTATAGCCTTTTTAGAGAAGTTTTCAATAAACTTTCGATAATAGAATGCAAGTTCTAAAAATACACGTAGTTCAGTTATATTTTTGGGAGGTGTTAGCTTAGCGAGTTTTTCTACTTTTTGTGGATCTGGTAAAATTCCTTCATTCCCAATTATATGGCCCAATAATTGTATTTGTTTGATACCGAAGTGACATTTTTCTGTATTAATTCTTAGATTTGCTTCTTTTATAAGATTAAATACTTCTCTGAGATCCTTTATATGTTGTTCAAAGGTCTCAC